TTTTTTTTTGAAATTAACAAAATATATATATTATTTAAAATTAAAATAAAATTAAAATTCTTAGGCTAAATTAATAATTTAACTTGATTCCAAAGTGAAAATTCATTTTTTTGGGAAAAGAAAGCAGGGGCAAAACCGTAAATTCAAGGGGTTATTTGGGGCCCAAACTGATTGCATGGGCCCAACATTTTGAAAATGCAGGCAACAGATTTTTTGTCTCTTGGTGCGTAAAAAAAAATAATAATAATAGGACTATCCGAACAAATTCAGACATAAATATGATTTTATTTGCCACGTCATCACCAAGGGCATAAATGGAAATCCACTTCTCATTATAAATATATAATTTTTTATTTGTTTTTTTTTTAAAAAAGGGAAGATTCGAGAGGATTGGCAATAAAAGGTGGATTTTGTTTTACACGCTCTTGGGACATGACACGTGTCCTAATATGACGTCAAAATATATTTTCTTTTTTTCTTTTTTTTTTTTTGGCTCCCCCTTTTTTCTTCTGCCTAATTTTTGGTCAAACTTTTTGGGCTTCAGGAAGCAACCAGGTGAGGGAGTGGGTTTGAAAAGAGTTTCAAGTCTTCAGAATTGGGTATCAGCCTAATCAAATTAAACTTCTCAATTTAAGCTAATTAATACGATTAACATAATTAATTATTTAATAATCAAATTTAGTTTCTAATTTCCACCACCTGACCTTGATTTTTCCCTAAACTAACTTTTTTTCTAAAATTCTTGGTGAAGAATATTATTTTATATTTTAATTCACGAGAATCATTCTTGTAAGTTAACATTATTTTACACATGTAATATTTGTATATATTTTGACTTCTGAGGTACAGAATTTGTTTTTGCAAATACTTAATTTAACTGCCTCCCCCATATAATTCACATGCATAATAATACATATATAAATAATTATTATTGATTTTTTTTTAATAATATAGTGGAATTGATTTACTAAAATTTAACGTGATGGAAAATTATTATATTTATATTTATACCTTAACAATATTAACATAATATCATTAATTTCAATAAAATTTTAAAATATATTATCTTAAATTAAATTTTTTTGCAAACCCAATTTTATTACCACCCTAATGCAAAATTATTATCATTTTTTGTTTGAAAAATCTAGGTGTATTATAAGTATATAGCCTTAATATATTAGGGTCATAATAATTTAATTATTATATAAATTTGATTAGATTAGCCTAAACTTATTCACGGGTAGGGCTAAACATATATGGCAAGCAATTCACATGCTAGTAAAAAGAATATACCTCTCTAAGTGTAGATTAAAGATTATTATTACAACCACCAAATTAGTAACATTTTATTGGACCGTTAGAAAAATATACCCTAGCCCTATTTACCAAATTCATAGTTTTAACTTTACCACGTGAAATAATTAAAATTAAAAAAAAAAATTGAAATGATTCGAAAGAACATCCCACCATGAAAATCATGTGATATTTTCTTGAGCCGACAGTTGGTCCACTTTTATGTATAAATTTTGAATCAATTCATTTTTTTTTTTTAATTCAAATATATCCTTACAAGTCAACCACAAAGTTGGACGTATGTATAATTTATATTATATATTTATAACAAAGTAAAATAATAATAATCAAACGCGTATCTACAGTTTATATATAATATTTTTTACTGTATGATTATAGAATTTATAAAAAGTGATATTGCACCCATAAAAAATTATATAAAATCATTTGTAAAGTAATTTGAATGCAATTTATTTATTTAATTAATTATTTTTATTTAAGATAATGGTTATGTACAATTTTTTAAAAAATATATATATATTTTTTTATCACATTTCAATATAGAACCTAACTAAACGTTATTGGAAAGAACTTGCAAATGGACAAAATAATTGCATCCAACTATGCTTCGGGACCAATGGCGCCTACATTCCAAATAAATTCGAGATAGTAGTCGTGTATTTTCTTTGTCACGTTTATATAAATTAATAATTTTGAAATTGAAACAAAAATTCTTGATAATGAAATAGATGTTAATGATACCCTTGTATAATTTTTCCATTATATATATATAAATATAAAAACATATACTTATATTGATGAATAACATTGAATTATGGAAAGGTTTCAATTAAATATGCTAAATTAGAGTCTCAATTATTAAATTCATTGGATATAAACTCTATCCCACCACTTGATTGTGAGTCCAAGCTGTGATCGTCTGAAAGTGAGATGAACAAAATGATTGGAGATGATGATCCACCAATTGAGGAGCTGGGATGGGCGTAATAAGATATACAGAGTTGAAAAATAAGTAGCCGAAATAATTGATTGACAGAGATTGTAATAAGAAAGGAGAGGTCTCCATGTGATCTTTTGTGGGCACACAGAATTGGACCACCATGCCCATTTGGTCATTGGTCCATCCCTCAACTTCCACTGTCCATCAATTACTACCTAAACATTTGTGGCATACCCATCAACTGGGCTTCATTCAATTCAGATTCCTTTCCATCTTTTCATTTCTATTAACTTCAATTCATCCAATTCCCATATCAATTTCTCAACCAAATTATTTATCTTTCAACTTTACTTTTCACTTCTCCAATTGGTAGAAACTTTAACTTGTCATTCTGAGCGCGGCTAGCTAACCCAGCTTTTAGAGCCAATAAAACTTTGGGCCCAACAATCTTGCAGCTTTTCATGAAAATGGATAGAACCCAGAGCTCATAAAATTTTCGGCTTTTAATGAAAATGGACTAGATCCGGAGCCCATAAAATATTGGGCTTGTCATGAAAATGGACTAGAATCAATAGCATATGAATTGTTGGCCTTTTCGTGAAAATGGACGAGCCCATAAAATATTGGGCCCAATAATGTTTCAGCCATTCATCAAAATGGACCTTCCCTTCATAAAACCAGACGAGTCCGAGGATAACGAGAAGCGAAAAGGAAAGGAAATACCGAAGACAGCACATGTTGATAAGGTGACGAACGTGCATACTAACTGTTCGACGAAATTCCTCTCCGAAACTAATAGTCGAAAGAGATGATACCGAAGCCAATACGCGTGATGGGCAAGACAGCTGCCGTTATCTTCGGCGGATTACTCACTCTCAACGTGGTTTCTTCAATGGCGCTTGGTGGGTTAAGGTTTGTGGTGGAAGGAAAGCGGGTAAATGGAAAATCACCACCGTAATTCTCTTGGTCTGTTCAGCTGCCTACTTTCTTTTTAAAATCTTTTTTTTTGTGTGGGTTTTGTAGAAAAAGGCAGCGTCGGCTTGTGGGGTTTGTAGAGGAAAAGGGTTTTATATATGTAAGCTGTGCGGAGGAAATGCGAGCATAAAGTGGTCGCCATTATATGATCCTGTGTGTATCAACCCCTGTGTTTGCCCTACTTGCGATGGCAACAGGGTGCAACGCTGCCTCAACTGTCTAGGGCGGGGATACTATTGATCTGCAGGAGACAGAATGCAGTAATAATAAAAAATCATTATTAAAATTATTTAAGTCATATTGTAATAATTTAAATTATTTTTATGTATTTATTGAATATAAATATTAGTTTGAAATTGGTATTATTTAATATGGGAATTGGACTACTTTAATCAAACGAATTCTCCATTATTGTGATGAGAAGCACACGAAGATGTGAAATTTTGTTCCAAATTTTGCTTTGGATTGACACCGTAGAGATCAAAATGACATGAGATGTTATTTGGCCAGGTTGGGTTGGGCTATGGCTTGTAGAGAATTGTAGGCCTTGGAATTTGAGTTTCTCTCTCTCTTTTTCATCTTATTTCGGTTTAATGGCAATGGTCACGGAAGTATGTTTAATTTACGCGTGGACCAAAAGTCTACCAATTAAAGTAGCACGACGGAAAAAATAGAAACAAAAACCCTAATGTTGAGTGAGAAATTTTTTGGGGCATGAAGTCCACGCGCGACAGAAATAACAGAAACCTTAATGCTGGATCTCGACTTTGCTTTAATGGAGAAGGGGGAGGCATCGCCTTGCTCGGAAGAGCACTGATCCACTAAGAAAGTCAAGATACGGCTGGAGGAGAGTCACTTTATGATACCTAGTGATGATTTGATGATGGAGGAAGTGATGGCGACTAGCGTCTGAGCTACTCAAGGAATAATGAGGCGACTAGCTTGGTGCCACAAGCGATGCATCTGCAGCAAGCAAACACA